AACCAGCAAGGCTAGACTTAGTAAATTTACCTTTAGTAGTGCAGATATCGAGGACATCACATATGAAAGACCCCTTGGGGCCAGTGACCATGTGGTTTTAAGCTTCGAATACAGAGTAGGGGCTACAAGTGGAGGGAGAAGCAGGAAGGCCAGGACGAATGAAGCCAAACTACAAGAAAGGGGACTTTCACAGGTATGAGGAACTCCTGAATGGGTTCAGTGGGAAAAGAGAACTGGCAGGGAAGCCAGTTAATGAGATATGGAATATGTAGCAACAAAATGCAAGGAGGCTGAGGAGAGGTTTTTACCCAAGGGTAACGGAATAATGAAAAGCCAGGATGAGCCCATGGTTTACCCAAAGGTGCAGGGAGCAAAAACCCAAGTGTGCTAGGGAATGGAAGAAATATAGAAGGCAAAGGACCCATTGAGAATAAGGGGAGCAGTCATAGAACCTGAAAAGAATATGCACAGATAAGAAAGGAGGCCCAAAGACAAAATGAAAATGACATAGCAAACGAAAGCCAAATTTGACCCGAAACTGTTGTACAGCCACATCAGGAGGAAAACAACAGTCAAGGACCAGGTAATCAGGCTAAGGAAGGAAGGAGGGGAGACAACAAGAAATGACCGTGAAGTATGTGAGGACTCAACAAGAGATTCAAAAAAGTGTTCACAGAGGAGACAGAAGGGGCTCCAGAAGACGGAGAGGTGGGGCACACCACCAGTGCTGGACACAGTTTCACACAACCGAGGAAAAAAAGTGAAGAGGCTTCTGAGTGAGCTAGATACCTCAAAGGCAATGGGGCCAGATAAAAATCTCCCCCTGGGTATTGAGAGAGGGAGCAGAAGGCGCTATGTGTACCCCTAACAATAATATTCAATACATCTATCGAAACAGGGAGATTGCCTGAGGCATTTGGGAAGACAGCAAATGTAGTTCCAATCTTTAAAAAAAGGGGACAGACATGAAGCATTAAACTACAGACCAGTGTACTGACATATATAGTATGCAAAATTTATGGAGAAGATTATCAGGAGAAGAGTGGTGGAACACCTAGAAAGGAATGATCTCATCAACAGCAGCCAACATGGTTTCAGGGATGGGAAATCCTTGTCACAAAACCTACTGGATTCTATGGCATGGTGACAGCAGTAAGACAAGAGAGAGAGGGGTGGGTTTGGGTTTCATATTCTTGGACTGCAAGAAGGCGTTTTTTACACAGTTCCACACAAGAGATTGGGGGCAAAAGCTGGAGGACCAAGCAGGGATAACAAGGCAATACAATGGATCAGGGAATACTTGTCAGGAAGACAGCAGCGAGTCATGGTACGTGGCGAGGTGTCAGAGTGGGCACCTGTGACCAGCGGGGTCCCACAGTGGTCAGTCCTAGGACCAGTGCTGTTTCTGGTATTTGTGAACGAAATGATGGAAGGAATAGACTCTGAGGTGTCCCTGTTTGCAGATGACGTGAAGTTGATGAGAAGAATTCACTCGATCGAAGACCAGGCAGAACTACAAAGGGATCTGGACAGGCTGCAGACCTGGTCCAGCAATTGGCTCCTGGAGTTCAATCCCACCAAGTGCAAAGTCATGAAGATTGGGGAAGGGCAAAGAAGACCGCAGACGGAGTACAGTCTAGGGGGCCATAGACTACAAACCTCACTCGGCAACTGGGCAGGACTCCAGCCCAGCGACAGTACCAGTCGAGAAGTGTCCTCCTGAGTCGCTTGCCAGGAGTCCTGCCCAGTTGCCGAGTTTTGTCGACGCCTCACTCTAGGGCACCAGCATGTCGTGCCCCAGGTTGAGTGAAAACCTGCAGCGACTCCTACGATGTCTGCTTCACCGTTCCAGAGGAGACCGTACCCTGTTACGTCACAGCTCAGCCGCAGCGATGTCTCCCGTGTTGCAGTATCTGTCAAGACGCAGGAAGTCGTGCAGTGATGCCCATCGACGCTCATTGCCTTTGACCACGATGTTTAGCACACCCCTTGTTTTTTTCTTCCCTCCCTGTAGGAAGTTTTTTTTTCCATGTCCATATGTATATGTTTTTATTTTGTGTTCTGTGCCCTGTTCCTACGAGAGAGAGAGACCGAGTTTCTTTTACTACCAGTATTGTCGCGTCGGGACGACGCGCGGTAGGTGGCCGAGCGTATGTAGACAGCCTGTACTGTGTGCACAGACAGCCCATGCTGTCTGCCAGCTTAGTTCATATTTCGCGCTATGCTGGTGCTGCCATCTATAGGCCTTGCCACTTCAGTATGCCCAGACTTGCCTCACCCTCACTCACACAGCGGCCTGGCATCAACACACAAGTACTCCCAGCTCTCTCTCGTGGGCATGGCCCTGCCCGGGCCATGGGCACAAACACACAAGCCTGTGTAACCCAACACTAGTTATCAATAAACAAAGAAGCCTCCGAAGAAGACGTATCATTTATCCACCGCGTACAGCACCTACCAAAATAACTCCATTATAGTTTGCAACAAGACTAGTCCCAGAGCTAAGAGGTATGTCCTACGAGGAGAGGTTAAGGGAAATCAACCTGACGACACTGGAGGACAGGAGAGATAGGGGGGACATGATAACGACATACAAAATACTGAGAGGAATTGACAAGGTGGACAAAGACAGGATGTTCCAGAGATTGGACACAGTAACAAGGGGACACAGTTGGAAGTTGAAGACACAGATGAATCACAGGGATGTTAGGAAGTATTTCTTCAGCCACAGAGTAGTCAGTAAGTGGAATAGTTTGGGAAGCGATGTAGTGGAGGCAGGATCCATACATAGCTTTAAGCAGAGGTATGATAAAGCTCACGGTTCAGAGAGAGTGACCTAGTAGCGATCAGTGAAGAGGCGGGGCCAGGAGCTCGGACTCGACCCCCGCAACCTCAACTAGGTGAGTACAACTAGGTGAGTACATACACACACACAGGACCCTGTACACCGTGTACGTTAGGCCCATATTGGAGTATGCGGCACCAGTTTGGAACCCACACCTAGCCAAGCATGTAAAGAAACTAGAGAAAGTGCAAAGGTTTGCCACAAGACTAGTCCCAGAGCTAAGAGGTATGTCCTACGAGGAGAGGTTAAGGGAAATCAACCTGACGACACTGGAGGACAGGAGAGATAGGGGGGACATGATAACGACTTACAAAATACTGAGAGAAATTGACAAGGTGGACAAAGACAGGATGTTCCAGAGACTGGACACAGCAACAAGGGGACACAGTTGGAAGCTGAAGACACAGATGAATCACAGGGATGTTAGGAAGTATTTCTTCAGCCACAGAGTAGTCAGGAAGTGGAATAGTTTGGGAAGAGATGTAGTGGAGGCAGGATCCATACATAGCTTTAAGCAGAGGTACGATAAAGCTCATATTTCAGGGAGAGTGACCTAGTGGCGACCAGTGAAGAGGCGGGGCCAGGAGCTTGGACTCGACCCCTGCAACCTCAACTAGGTGAGTAACTAGGTGAGTACACACACACACACACACACACACACACACCTGTCAGGAAGACAACAACGTGTCATGGTGCGTGGCGAGGTGTCAAAGTGGGCGCCTGTAACGAGCGGAGTGCCGCAGGAATCAGTCCTAGGACCGGTGCTATTCCTGGTATTTGTGAACGACATGACGGGAGAAATAGACTCCGATGTGTCCCTGTTTGCAGATGATGTGAAGTTGATGAGAAGAATTCAATCGGACGAAGACCAGGCAGACCTACAGAGGGATCTGGACAGACTGCAGGCCTGGTCCAGAAACTGGCTCCTGGAGTTCAACCCCACCAAGTGCAAAGTCATGAAGATCGGGAAAGAGCAAAGAAGATCACAGGCGGAGTACAGTCTAGGGGGGCCAGAGCCTACAAACCTCACTCAAGGAAAAGGATTTTTGTGTGATTATAACACCGGAAACATCGCCTGAGGCACATCAGTCAAATAACTACTGCAGCATACGAGCACCTGGCAAACCTAAGAACACCATTCAGACATCTAAATAAGGAGTAATTCAGGACCCTGTACACTGTGTATGTTAGGCCCATATTGGAGTATGCAGCGCCAGTTTGGAACCCTCACCTAGCCAAGCATGTAAGGAAACTAGAGAAAGTGCAAAGGTTTGCAACAAGTTTAGTCCCGGAGCTAAGGGGTATGTCCTACGAGGAGAGGTTAAGGGAAATGGACCTGATGACACTGGAAGACAGGAGAGTTAGGGGTATATGATAACGACATAAAATACTGAGAGGTATAGACAAGGTTGACAGAGACAGAATGTTCCAGAGATGGGACACAGCAACGAGGGGTCACAGTTGGAAGCTGAAGACTCAGATGAATCACAGGGATGTTAGGAAGTATTTCTTCAGTCACAGAGTTGTCAGGAAGTGGAATACCCTGCGTAGTGATGTAGCGGAGGCAGGATCCATACATAGCTTTAAGAAGAGGTGTGATTAAGCTCACGGAGCGGGAAGAGTGGCCGGGTAGCGGCCAGGTGAAGAGGCGGGACCAAGAGCTGTGAATCGACCCCCGCAACCACAACTAGGTGAATACAACTAGGTGAGTAGACGTGGTTATGCTTTATTTACAACTAGCAAAGTCAGGGTATTTTTCCAGAATGGTTTGTAATATACCACTGTGGATAAAATACTTTGACATATTTTGAACATTTCTGAGTGAGTTGTCTCTAAATTCATTAATTTTATCGCACTCCAGTACATAATGACGCAAGGTGTGACAATAGTTGGATGCACCATAGACATGTGGCTCCTCCTGCTTGATAGAATGATGATAGATAGAATGATGATAGATGGACTGGCTGGTGTCAGTCTCCCTGAGTCTTAAGTCAATAAAGTTCAGTTGAAGTTCTTTTCGTATTATTGTTCTCAAACTGCTAACTGACAACCCAAGATTGTAATCTACTCGCTCTTTGAAAGCATACAACTTAGCCAATTTATCAGGTCTATCATGCATTTGAAGGTCAATGTGAGATGGAATCCACAGTATGTGGACTCTGACTCCACTGTCCACACTCCTACCTTACCTGTGTCTGGCTTCTGACACAAGCATGCCACAGTTTATACTTAATGAGTTGAGAGCATTTATGGATGACAGAGAATCAGTTACAATTAAAGTATCAACCTTAGATACATGGACGCATTTGAGTGCAAGGAGTATGGCAAACAGTTCTGACTGAAGAGTAGAGCCCCAGTTATTGATGCGTGCTCTAATTTCTTTAAGAGAGCCATCACTCTGTATGACAACAACTTGCTCTAAACACGGGTTTAGAGCAGGTCGCTCCTGCCTCTCATAGCTACTGGATCACTATGACATGATCTTGGATGCACTGGAGAACGATCAGAATGCAGATGTAGTGTACACAAACTTTGCGAAGGCCTTCGACAAGTGCGATAATGGAGTAATAGCACACAAAATGGGTGATAAAGGAATAACAAGAAAAGTAGGTAGATGGATCTATAACTTCGTAACAAATAAAACACAATGAGTAATAGTAAACAGAGTATGGTCACAGGAGGCAACAGTGAAAAACTCTGATACACAAGGTACAGAACTCGCTCCCATCATGTTCCTCATCCTCATACCTGACATAGAAATGTAAACCACAGCACAGTGTCGTTTGCTGACGATACCAAAATTTGTTTGACAGTGTCATTCATTGAAGACACTACAAATCTCCAAGCGGACATTAATCAAGTCTTTAAATGGGCGTCAGAAAACAACATGAAGTTCAATGAAGACAAATTTAAATTACTCCGCTATGGAAAACTCGAGGAAATAAAGACTGTATCGGAGTATATAAAGGAAATTCCAATCATACGATAGAGCGGAAAACTAATGTGAAGGACTTGGGATTGGAAATGTCAGAGAATTTCATTTTCAAAAATCACAACAAAAATGGATAGGATGGGTAATGAGAACATTCAAAACTAGGGATGCCAAGCCAATGATGATTCTCTTCAAATCGCTTGTTCTCTCTAGGCTTGAATACTGCGGTACATTAACGGCCCCTTGCAAGGCAGACCTGGAGAATATACAGAGAACCTTTACTGCACGTATAAGTACTATAAATCTTCAAAATTATTAGGAACGGTTGAAGGCCCTTGCCATGTACGCCTTGGAAAGCAGGAGAGAAAAATACATGATAATATACACCTGAAAAATCATAGAGGGACTAGTCCCAAATCTACACACCGAAATCATAAGGAAAACACTCGGCAGGCGGTGCAACATCCTCCCAATGAAAAGCAGGGGTTCCATGAGTACGCTAAGAGAAAACACAGTAAGTGTCAGGGGCCCAAGACTGTTCAACTGCCTCCCAGGATACATAAGGGGGATTACCAATAGACCCCTGGCTGTAATCACTGACTGTTACATCACTGACCGTTACTGCTAACCTAGTATGATTTGAATGCCTTTCGTCCTCCAGGCACTCAGCAGGACAGTTCAAGTTGAGTCATAGGAGAGTAAACAGATCAGGCCTGGCGTCCCCATATATTCCATCTAATATACTTACTAGAACATCCGACGTGAGTGTTTATTATCCAATCCATGTTTCGAACCCCCATATGACAGATGGAGCAGGTGTTATCATATGTAACAATAGATGGAGCAGGTGTTATATGTAACAGTAGATGGAGCAGGAATTATCATTAATAACAGTAGTGGGAGCAGGTATTATCAGATGGAGCAGTCATTAAGTTTAACAATAGATATAGCAGTTATCATTAGTAACAATATGTGGAATAGTAACACTGACAGGTTGTAGTTATTTAAGATACAAAGCAGTTACCGAAATTTCTTATTTTATCAGATTACGTCTAATGGGCAGGCAGAAAGTTATTTTTATTTACTGTAAAATTAAAGTTGCTGCTTTTGTGTTTTTATTCTTGTTTCATGAAACTTGGCCGACGTTTCGACCGTCGTGAACTATCAAGTCACTCGTTTCTTTACAATAGTCTTGGACGAACCGAAACGCCGCCACGTTTTCATGTTATATGTTAGTAACTTGTGTGTATGCCAGCCATGACAAACTTGAGTCTGGAAGCCTGTTAGTTGTTGTGGCCAGCATCCCGAGGGAGGACCTGACAACCACTTGGAAATGGGCTTTCTTGGATATCCTACGGAGTTAATATTCTGAATATAATCCTCTTCAGTGGTGTTGATGCTAGTGTTGGCCTCAGTGGAGGTGGGGAAGAGGGGCTTCAGTCCTGCCAGGTGAAGAGCAGAGGTAGAGTAAGCAGTGGGTCACTAGTTCGTGGGTTCCTCATCCAAATGCTCCAGGTCTTCTCCACTAGATCGAAGATACCTGCGGGCAGGTACCTATGTCTTAGTTATGTGTTGCTGAGTGAGAACTAGAGTTTCCTGCGCATAGAAATAGTCTGATTACTTTTGGACGAAATATTTAAAACTAGAGAAGTCAGAGCATGAAATTAATTTAATATACTTGTAATTCATTTCGACAACGCATTGTGTTTTTGTAAAGTAAGAGAAGCTAATGCTGTTTCTTCCACTCTTTTTTCCTCATAAAAATAAATTCCTAAATTCTGTCTTTCTTGGTCTGACTGTCTTTTCAATATCACAAGAATATATGAGGACAAGAATGGAGGAATATTGCTGTAGGGCTACTGGACTATACTAGGTTGGTACAGATCACACACTCTCATACCCCTGTTCAACCTTGTTTTAAGGATGTCCACCCCTCAGGGAAGGTTCCTTGATGTTGGTGAGGGGCTGTTGATTTAGGGAATTGGATCTGTGCTCCAGTTCCCCGAATTAAGCCTGAATGCCTTCCACATCCCCCATCCCCAGGCGCTGTATAATCCTATGGGTTTAGCGCTTCCCCCTTGTTAATAAAAAGAAAAAAAAGGATGTCCAAGATTCTCGGTTTAGTGACTCTACTTGGAAGTTTGTTCCACCCATCTACAACTCTGTCACTGAACCAGTACTTTCCTTTATCCTTCTCAATGTAAATTTCTGTCTTGGTTGGATTTTTTCAGCACATTTTATATATGTATCCCTCCTTATTTATTAATGTGTTCCATATGTACATTCCAACACATAATCCTTAATTCTACGTATGATGCTTGTCTGTCACTCATTCCCTGTCATCTCTTGTTCCCCCGTCTTCTCTTACAGGCCAGCTCGGCGTCACACTCACCCAAGGTCACCGTCTTGATGAAGTCTGGGTTGCCACCTTCCCTGAAGAAAGGGTAGAGTGGGTCATGGGTGTCCGAGAGGAGAGCCAGGAGAGCAGCGCGGGTGTCAGGCACACAGCAGGCGCTGGCGCGGGCGTGACGGTGGTTACTGCTGACTGAACACAGTCCATCGTCCTCAGCCACTGCCAGACGCAAGTACCTGCAATTAAGGGAAATTCATGTTTAAAGTTCCCTGTAGTTAAAAACAATCAAAAGTTTTCGTTAATTAATGTTCGTAAATGACTCTTAACGTATAAGAGACTTCTTCTGCAGCTTTCTCTGCAGCTTCCTCCGCAGCTTCCTCTGCAGCTTCCCACCGCCTGGGAGGTGTCCCGAGATATATCTCAGAATTATTTGTTAATGTGACAGTCGCTATTTGTGAGTTAATGAGGCTGGATTTGAGACTTAGAAAGTTATTACAGATTTTGTAGGATCTAAGTATAAATCAGTGTTGAAAACTAACTCTATTGAGCATCTGGGACATTATATCAGGGTAAATCACAGAATCTTTGCTTAAGAAAGTAGAGGCACTTCTCAAACTGCCAACTCATGAGTCGGGAGGGGGGGCGGGCATATTCAGTAACATCTTGGAATGGTTACTTACTATTGCAAATCCAAAATTTCTACATGACTTGATGAAACAAACAGGAATTAGCTTTAAATGATCTTCCATGGCCGTTCAGGGAGTAACAAAAAATACTGAATTCTTCTGTTATTTGAATTTACAAGAGAATGTCCGCTGATATTTACAGTTGATGCTTCACTTGGAAGGTTAAGGTGCACTCTGGTCTAGTGAGGTGTGTGTTGATGTAGTGAGGTGTGTGTCGATGCTGTGAGGTGTGTTGATGCTGTGAGATGTGTGTGTTGATGCAGTGAGGTGTGTGTTGATTCAGCAAGGTGTGTGTTGCTGCTGTGAGCTGTGCGCTAATGTTAAGATTTTCGTTCAGATTTTTAACCCCGGAGGGTTAGCCACCCAGGATAACCCAAGAAAGTCAGTGCGTCATCGAGGACTGTCTAACTTATTTCCATTGGGGTCCTTAATCTTGTGCCCCAGGATGCGACCCACACCAGTCGACTAACACCCAGGTACCTATTTGCTGCTAGGTGAACAGGACAACAGGTGTAAGGAAACGTGTCGAATGTTTCCACCCGCCGGGAATCGAACCCGGGCCCTCCGTGTGTGAAGCGGGAGCTTTAGCCACCAGGCCACCGGGTTGTAAGGTGAGTGTTCATGTAGTGAGGTATGTGTTGATGCAGTAAGGCGCGTGTTGATGCAGTAAGGCACGTGTTGATGCAGTAATGGTGTTACCCATAACAAACAAACCTCGTGCAGTCAGCTGTGTCTTTGCCTCTACCTTGCTCTGCCGTCAAACAAGTCAGCTACCTAACTAGCTATTCTACAGAACGGGCAAGGTGGACTTTCCAGTCAAGGGCTTCTACAACCCTTGCTCGGCAGTGATGAGGTTTGACTCCTGCAACATGTAGGTAAATACGTATACTTGACAACACACTATTAATAACTGGAACACAATCTTGCACCAGGAAGCAAGCTTGATACGGCAAAAGCTGTCAGTGGCCCTATAAACCCCAGCAGCAACAAGAAAATCTTGTGAGATGAACTTTATTTGTTTAGAAGATGGGGGGTCAGGAGTTGAGTATCAACCCCCCACAAACACAAATCAGTGAACACACAGCACTTACTTGTTAGTATGAAGTAGGTGCTCGCCAGGACTAAGAGTGAGGATGGACAGTTGACTTTCGTCAGCATTGTCCGCAGGTCCCACCTCAGCGTTGTGGAAGAGATGGTCTCCCTCTTGCATGGTGAAGCTCATATTGACACTGAAGCCGTCAGCAACACCAGTACCTCGGTCTCGCAAGATCTGCTGAGCCGTCTCCATCGTCTTGGCCGACAGCAGCGCCCGACACACAAAGTGACGTGCTGCCCAAACATCAACTTTACAGTTAACCTCTGTAAACTCACAAAGTGCAATGAATCGTTCATGAAAAATGAAAACCTTTTGTGGAAATTTATTCGGTCCTAAAAAAGTTCCACAGGACAGATACGTCGTACGAAGATCCCAACATGTCACGGATGGAACAGCTGGATTGGGTGGCCCTTACACCCACCCAAAACACACACAACACACCCGGGTTGGCGAAGGTGGTTGGAAGGTACATTTAATTGATAGATTTACCCTTTGAGGAAGAGGTAGGTAGTTTATACTGTTAGTGAATTAATATTAGGACTATTGAGGCAACTGTAGATAATAATAATGTAGACCTAAGACCTTAACGTAGGTAGTAATAGGCCGGTAATGTAGGCAAACGCTAGGTTATAGCCAGGGAGAACTGGCAGCCCAAGTTTGAATGCTGGGGCACGGGGTTTTGAGACTGCAGTACTTCCTTCTAAGATCAGACACCATCAGAATAACAAGTGCCGTTAACAGCAGGGCGGCGCCCCCACGTGTCTTCACATACTAGAACTGGGGAAATCTGGTGGAGGCGCCTCGAAGTACCGTAGATGACCTCCTCCGTCAGGCTCATACAGTAAGACAAGACCTCCCTTTCTTTCTCAGTATTCTGGCCGGTTTCTGGGGAAAATTGCGAGTGAGTTGAACTGTGAGTCTTTGTGCAAGCGGACGGCCAATGATCAGTACGTGCTGACGTCTCCTCGTGGTTAAGCTTAGAAGCTAGTGTCACTTCCTGCATAGTTATGCTAGGGGATACACACCCCCTTGGAAACAGGGATTTCTGAGGTGCAGGCAGGTCACTAATACCGACTTAATATTGCAGGAATTAAGGCTCCTGGTTGCACGTGGTTCTGAGGGGAAGTCCAGAGGGGCTAAAGCTTAGGGGAGGTTGAAGACCGGGATATATTCTCCATCACCAAGTAAGTTAGTCCTTCATTCGTGCATACAGGCGAGATTTATTGCAACATCAGTCATTTATGGAAATCTGTCCTGTAAGCCACTTGTGAGGCTGAGGTACCAACCTCAGAGCTCGGTGTCAACAGAGCTTGCTAGGGTAGGCAACTCACACAGAGGCAATCCAGACAAATTTTCACACCTTTGAAAATTTATGAAATTAAAGTAGCTAGAGAATCAAAGACAAAGGGTTCTTTTAAGTGTAGAGGACAAAGCTCAAGGAAAAAATAGGACCTCTAAAAACTAGGTCTGGACAACTTACTGATAATGAACTATTTTTAATAACTACTTTTAATAGTTATTTCTTGTCAGTTTTCACACAAGAAAACATAAATGATATCCCACTAATTAACAATTATTCAGCACAGAAGAAAACAAATTAAGTAACATTATTGTTATGAGGGACATAGTTATCAAACAAGTAGATAACCTAAAACAAAATAAGTCCCCGGGACCTGATGAACTGCTTTCAATGGTACTTAAAGAGTGCAAGTGGGAACTTAGCCGCTAAAGAGCCTGTTCAATGCGTCTATTTAAAATGAGTATTGCGCCAAAATTGTGGAAGATAGCTAATGCAATTCCTATATTTAAATCAGGGAATAAGTCCATTCCGCTTGACGTCTATAGTAGGCAAATGACTAGAATCAATTATAGCTGATATTATTATTAGTCACCTTAATGAGCATAATTTGATCAATGAGTCTCAGCAAGGGTCCACGAGAGGTGCTTCCTGCCTGACAAATTTACTGATATTCTTCAATAAAACATTTGAGACAGTAGACAGCGATAAAGAATATGATGGTGTTTATTTGAATTTCAGTAAAGCCTTCGTTAGACCACCTCACAAAAGACTTATGAAAAGTAGCAGCTCTTGGTACAGTAGTAAAGTTCTAACATGGATCGAGGCATGGCTTACCAATAGAAAGCAAAGAGTTTGCATTAATGGGATCAAGTGTAAGTGGGGACCGATCACGAGTGGCTTTCCGCAAGGATCAGTTTTGCGTGTAATGTTGTTCATAATTTACATTAATGACCTTGAAGAAGGAATAACGAGTGATATGAGTAAATTCGCTGATGATACAAAACTAGTACGAATAAAAGATTCTGGGGAGGGCACCAATGAACTTCAGCAGGATTTAGACAAATTAATGTCATAGTCTAAGAAGTGGCAGATGCAGTTTAATGTAGACAAATGTAAAGTAATAATCATTGGGAATGAAAATAATCCTCATAGTTATAAACTAGGTAATGTAGAGCTTGATCATACAGAATGTGAAGAAAACTTGGGATTCATGGTAAGCAGAAATCTGAAGCCAAAGCAACAGTGCCTAAATGTGAGTAATTAGGCTAACAGATTATTTGGATTTATATCTAGAAATATAAATAACAGGAATCCAAAAGCTATTTTACATCTCTGTACATCAGTAGTAAAGCCTCTTGCTGTGCTGCTCAGTTTTGGTCTCCTTACTACGGAGTGGATATAAATTCATTGGAAAACATACAGAAAAGTATGACAAAGTTGATCCACTGCATAAGGAATCTTCCATATGAAGATACACTTAGAGCCTTGAATATTTACTCTCTTGAGAGATGTAGAAGGAAAGATATTACTGAAGTATATTAGTGGGTAGATACTGTTCCAAGAAAAATGTAGGGCAAACAGGCAGAATCTTTTGGTTTGCCTAAACGAACACTGAAAGGCCAGCAACAGAGACGACTTATGATGTCCCTGTGGAGAACACAGGCACTCCAAGGGAGATTTAATGAACTGGAATGAGGCACTACTACTCGCTGAGCAAGATCTCAGACTCCGACGACAGCTGGAAGGCTCGTTAATCGCCGTCACCGACATCATAGACCATAATACTGGAAGCTACAAAATGAAAAAAAATAGCATGCATGATACTCAACCAGGCAAAGCACCACTTAACAACACAGGAATCACATGACCTCATTGTCTACCTTCTATCATCTCAAATATGTCTGTTTTTTGGGTCACCATGTGTCACTCACACTTCACTCTCCGCTTATATAAACTGTTATTTTAACATATGTGTGTTAGAAATGACCAAGGTCCCAGGATCGAAACGTTATCTGATAAATATACCCTAGTGTTTACTCACGTGTCTTTTAAAATCCAAATAAAGAGCATTATATTTTTATCGTTGTTCACTGCCTCAGATGCTTTATTAAAGAATGCCAGTAAATTTGTCAGGCAGGTAGAACCTCCTGAATCTTGTGAATCTATGCTAAGACACATTAATTAAATTATGCTCATTAATGTGGCCTCTAATAACATCAGCTTTAACTGATGTCAGATGTCAGGTTTACTGGACAGTAATTTGATGGATTTGACTTATCCCCTGATTTAAATATAGGAATTACATTAGCCACCTTCCACACCTTTGGCACAACACTCGGTTTAGACGCATTAAACAGGACTGTTAGCAGCTAAGTTCCCACTTACACTTCTTAAGTACCACTGAAAACAGTTCATCAGGGCCCAGGGACTTATTTTGTTTTAGTTGATCTACTTATTTGATAACCATGTCCCTCATGACAATAATATTACTTAATTTGATTTCTTCAAGATCTGAAGAACTATTAATTGCTGGGTATCATTTATGTATTCTTGTGTAAAGACTGACAAAAAAATAACTAATAAGAACACATTTCCTGTTCAGTATCAGTTTTCAGAGGTCCTATTTTATCCTTGATATTTGTCTTATACACTTGAAAGAACCTTTTTGGATTTATTTTTGATTATCTAGCTATTTTAATTTCATAGGTGCATTTTGTCTTTCTAATCCCCTTCCTTACCTCACTTTTAATATGACAGTAATGGTAAATACTGTTACCCTCTTCCCTTTTGATGCGCCTATCAATTCCTCTGAGCACTTTGCTCTTAGCTAACTGTGATTGTGCTGATGACTTCCCTCGACTATCAGCAGCGGTATCTCCAACTTATGGCAGAGTTAGAGGAAGCTAGAAGAGAGATTCAACGGCTGAAAGGGGTGTGCAAGGATTGTCCCCGGAACAAGGTTGTCAAGAACAGCTGCGTAGATAATCGGACCAACAACTGGATGCTGGTTAGAATGAGTGGGACGAAGCTGAAACTAAGGAAGGCGCAGGAGACTGCAGTGGTGACCAGCAATTCCTTCTCTGTGATAATAGATAAGTGTGACTCAATGATCTAGGCCTGGTCACAGACCGGGCCGCGGGGGCGTTGACCCCCGAAACTCTCTCCAGGTAAACTCCAGGTATCCCAACGAAAACTGTTGACAACAAAATGACGAACACTGCCAGAAAAGGTAAGTACATTGTTTTAGTTGGGGACAATAAGGTTAAATTCATGGACAGGGTATTTTGTCTTAGAGACAGGAAGAAGAGGCAAAAGGTTTGTTTTCCTGAGGCTGGGATCCATGATACTGTTTAGCCTTTTCTCCCCATTTTCTCCACCAGATAAGACCATACTGCTTACTATTTCTAGTTTAATTAAAGCCTTCACAGCTTCCTTAACTGAACTGGCCAGAGCCCCAACACCTGCCCTAGATAAGTGAATCCCCATCTCTGTCATACATATAATTTATGCCAAAAATAAAGAGATCCCAGTTGTCTATAAATGGTTCTGCAATGTCCTTGCAGTGTTTGTCCAGCCAGCAATTAACACCAATTGCCCTGGAGAACAGTACCTTTCCAATTCCTCTCCTAGACAAAATGCCACATATTACAGAGTGCCCTCCCTTCCTAATTAAGTCAGTTGTCGTCCCATACCACTAGCCAAATCCTCCCTTCTGTACTTCACGACATCATTGCCTCCAGCACTGAGCAGATAATGAGATTGATCCCATTACTGTTCATAATACAGTCAAGATGGCTATGTCCTCCATCCAAACCCCAGGAAAGCAAACCCTCTATCTCTTGCTCCTATCCTTAAAGCAAAAACCCCTCTCCATGAACCTAATCTGTCCCCAACAAGTACAATGTTCATACCCTCCTTGGTGTAGTTCGTCGTGTGTTTCACTGTAGTCGACTCACATTCAACGGGCAGCACAAAGAACGAGTTGGAGGTTGCCACAGAATCTTCACTGTTTCCACCTCATCATCCATCCTTTTGATCTTCAGCTTCATTCCATTCTGCCCAGCTTCCTTTGTTGATCTGAGGATTCACACCAGGCTGATTACTACCAATCCTCTTATTATTCTTAATCAGCTGTCATATCTCTTTCTTGCCTGGCCTCCTCCAGCATCTCCTTAACCTGATGGTAAAGTTGCTTGATAGAAAGCATCAATGGTTGTGTTTCACAGTGAGCTCACAAAGTGCGTCCTCACATGATGTACATCACACTTCATCCCCCGTTAAATCACGATAAATAAATCTCAGTTTATATCTTCTGAACGGCATCAAAATTTAGCATCTTAGAGCCAGGATATTATCTATTAAGTTTCGTTTGAATGCAGGCAAATTTGTTGATGTGGTAAAATATACTTGGAATCAATGGACTCCGTGCCATAACTGGAGAATGACTCATCTGATCGGCTTCAAATTTTCACCAGGAGTGTGGTGTCCTGAACACAAGGTTCACACTGCCATTGGATGACATAAGTCCAAATTTGTCAATTTTATTGAATAGTGATATTCTTTATTCAATAACTAACGAATACTTTATATTTGCTTACTTATATATTGAAAAGTTTGGAATAATTTAGCCTGTCTAGGTCCAAGTTGGTTTTTTTGGAAGATATTGGAAAAAATTAAATACTACTCTTCATGTTATAATTTCTGAGTGTCGCATCTGATTAGTTTCAAGCCTTCCATGATCATTACGTGATAACGCACTTCTGATTGGCTTCAGGTTTAATGGGCTTGTCTATTAAGGATACTCCCCACCTCTAGAACTGCAACACTCCCACCCCACCTTCAGAGTGAAGGCACTGTACTCCCCACCTCTAGGACTGCAACACTCCCACCCCACCTTCAGAGTGAAGGCACTGTACTCCCCACCCTCTAGAACTGCAACACTCCCACCCCACCTTCAGAGTGAAGGCACTGTACTCCCCACCTCTAGGACTGCAACACTCCCACCCCACCTTCAGAGTGAAGGCACTGTACTCCCCACCTCTAGGACTGCAACACTCCCACCCCACCTTCAGAGTGAAGGCACTGTACTCCCCACATCTAGGACTGCAACATCCTCAGATACCTAAAGTCGGTGCCGGATCAGCCGGGATGTGGTTCGTACACTGGATTGCGTGCGGTCAGTAGTAACAGCCTCGTTGATCAGGCCCTGATCCACCGGGAGGCATGGTCATGGACCGGGCCACGGGGGCGTTGATCCCCGGAATACCCTCCAGGTAGACTCCAGGTAGACCCATCCTTCACAGTGCAGGCATTGTACTTCCACTCCCAGTACTGAAACATCTTCACCCGTCATTCAGAGTTCAGTCACTGTACATCCTACCTTCAGGACCGTAACATCCCCACCCCTGCTTCAGAGTTCAGGCACTGTACTTCCCACCTCCAGGACTGTAACAACCCCACCCTCCCTTCAGAGTTCAGTCACTGTACTTTCCACCTCCAGGACTGTAACATCCCTACTCCCTCAGAATTCAAGCACTGTACTCCCCACTTCTAGAACTGCAACATCCCCACCCCTCCTTCAGAAGGCAGGCACTGTATTGTCCTCACCCATCTTTCAGAGTGCAGACACTGTACTTCCCACTGTATTCACGAAAGACTAAACCTGTATAGGTTAAGTCTTTGGCTGTTACCATGAATTACAGACAACTCACAGTCATAGTTTAACTGAGATAACTCATAGAGTCAACACATGGTTAATATAACTCACGCGTCTTTCCACTGATGACCCTCTGTGGTTGGATGACGTTGATAGAGTAGACGAGACCATGGTGGTTGTAACCCATGCAGAAACCAGGCAGGTAGCCAGCGTAGCAGAGGGCAGTGAAGCCCTCACAGCGGGTACCCCACTTGCCTTGTGGCTCGGCCTCAGTGATGTGTGCTGATACCAGGTACACATGGTTCAGAAACTCTGGCAAGGCATCCTCTGTGTGGCCCAACAATACCTGTACCAGTCCAGGTAACAACAAACTGTTATTGTTGTTGCTCTTGTTGTTACTTTTATTATTATTATTATTATTATTATTATTATTATTATTATTATTATTATTATTATTATTATTATTATTATTTTATTTTTTATTAACACATCAGCCGTTTCTCACCAAGGCAAGTGATCCGAAAAAGAAGAAACACTTTCATCATCACTCACTCTATCACTGTCTAGTGAGGGTCGTGCCAACACTACAGTTCAAAAACTGCAAAATACCTCCACCCCTCCTTCAGAGTGCAGGCACTGTACTTCCCACCTCCAGGACTCAAGTCCGGCTAACCAGTTTCCCTGAATTGCTCTATAAATGTTACTTTGCTCACACTCCAACAGCACGTCAAGTCATAAAGACCATTTGCCTCCAAATACACACCATTTGTGTGTGAGCATTGTCTGCTGACACTCACCTGACCATCGTAGTTGACACACACAGAGGAGCAGCCATTGGAGTCAGCAGAGAGCGTCTTCCCGCTGTTCATGGGCACAATCCTGTCCATGTGTAGCAACATTAACTGAAAAAAAAAATTAAGTGAGTTTAGAGGCTATGTACAACACGATGGTCATTAAGGCTGGTCACAGACCGGACCGCGGGGGCGGTGACCCCCGAAACCCTCTCCAGGTATACTCCAGGTCACATCTTTCCCACAAGTCAGATATATTTAATTCCCTAAAACCGGGATTTCAGTAAACTCTCGGGTGTATATACACTGGCAGACATACACCTCCCGCTGTATATAACCTTGTATTAACATAATATTTTACACATATTAGCCTTCTTCTTCTTATGACCAGAGCTTTGGTAAGATGGGTAAGCAAGAAGGATGGGTAAGCAAGAAGGATGGGTAAGGTAGAAGGATGGGTAAGGTAGAAGGATGGGTAAGGTAGAAGGATGGGTAAGCAAGAAGGATGGGTAAGCAAGAAGGATGGGTAAGGTAGAAGGATGGGTAAGGTAGAAGGATGGGTAAGGTAGAAGGATGGGTAAGGTAAAGGATGGGTAAGGTAGAAGGATGGGTAAGGTAGAAGGATGGGTAAGGTAGAAGGATGGGTAAGGTAGAAGGATGGGTAAGGTAGAAGGATGGGTAAGCAAGAAGGATGGGTAAGGTAGAAGGATGGGTAAGGTAGAAGGATGGGTAAGGTAGAAGGATGGGTAAGGTAGAAGGATGGGTAAGCAAGAAGGATGGGTAAGGTAGAAGGATGGGTAAGCAAGAAGGATGGGTAAGGTAGAAGGATGGGTAAGGTAGAAGGATGGGTAAGGTAGAAGGATGGGTAAGGTAGAAGGATGGGTAAGGTAGAAGGATGGGTAAGGTAGAAGGATGGGTAAGGTAGAAGGATGGGTAAGGTAGAAGGATGGGTAAGCAAGAAGGATGGGTAAGGTAGAAGATGGGTAAGCAAGAAGGATGGGTAAGGTAGAAGGATGGGTAAGGTAGAAGGATGGGTAAGGTAGAAGGATGGGTAAGCAAGAAGGATGGGTAAGGTAGAAGGATGGGTAAGCAAGAAGGATGGTAAGGTAGAAGGATGGGTAAGGTAGAAGGATGGGTAAGGTAGAAGGATGGGTAAGGTAGAAGGATGGGTAAGGTAGAAGGATGGGTAAGCAAGAAGGATGGGTAAGCAAGAAGGATGGTAAGGTAGAGGATGGGTAAGGTAGAAGGATGGGTAAGCAAGAAGGATGGGTAAGGTAGAAGGATGGGTAAGCAAGAAGGATGGGTAAGCAAGAAGGATGGGTAAGGTAAAGGATGGGTAAGGTAGAAGATGGGTAAGCAAGAAGGAGATGGGTAAGGTAGAAGGATGGGTAAGCAAGAAGGATGGGTAAGCAAGAAGGATGGGTAAGGTAGAAGGATGGGTAAGGTAAGAAGGATGGTAAGGTAGAAGGAGGGTATAGGTAGAAGGATGGGTAAGGAAGAAGGATGGGTAAGCAAGAAGGATGGGTAAGGTAGAAGGATGGTAAGCAAGAAGGATGGGTAAGCAGAAGGATGGGTAAGGTAGAAGGATGGGTAAGGTAGAAGGATGGGTAAGCAAGAGGATGGGTAAGCAAGAAGGATGGGTAAGCAAGAAGGATGGGTAAGCAAGAAGGATGGGTAAGCAAGAAGGATGGGTAAGCAAGAAGATGGGTAAGCAAGAAGGATGGGTAAGCAAGAAGGATGGGTAAGGTAGAAGGATGGGTTTAAGGTAGAAGGATGGGTAAGCAAGAGGATGGGTAAGCAAGAAGGATGGGTAAGCAAGAAGGATGGTAAGCAAGAAGGATGGGTAAGGTAGAAGGATGGGTAAGGTAGAAGGATGGGTAAGCAAGAAGGATGGGTAAGCAAGAAGGATGGGTAAGCAAGAAGGATGGGTAAGGTAGAAGGATGGGTAAGGTAGAAGGATGGGTAAGCAAGAAGGATGGGTAAGCAAGAAGGATGGGTAAGGTAGAAGGATGGGTAAGCAAGAAGGATGGGTAAGCAAGAAGGATGGGTAAGCAAGAAGGATGGGTAAGCAAGAAGGATGGGTAAGCAAGAAGGATGGGTAAGGTAGAAGGATGGGTAAGCAAGAAGGATGGGTAAGTAGAAGGATGGGTAAGGTAGAAGGATGGTAAGGTAGAAGGATGGGTAAGCAAGAAGGATGGGTAAGCAAGAAGGATGGGTAAGGTAGAAGGATGGGTAAGGTAGAAGGATGGGTAAGCAAGAAGGATGGGTAAGCAAGAAGGATGGGTAAGCAAGAAGGATGGGTAAGGTAGAAGGATGGGTAAGGTAGAAGGATGGGTAAGGTAGAAGGATGGGTAAGGTAGAAGGATGGGTAAGCAAGAAGGATGGGTAAGCAAGAAGGATGGGTAAGGTAGAAGGATGGGTAAGGTAGAAGGATGGGTAAGGTAGAAGGATGGGTAAGCAAGAAGGATGGGTAAGGTAGAAGGATGGGTAAGGTAGAAGGATGGGTAAGCAAGAAGGATGGGTAAGCAAGAAGGATGGGTAAGGTAGAAGGATGGGTAAGGTAGAAGGAGGGTAAGGTAGAAGGATGGGTAAGCAAGAAGGATGGGTAAGCAAGAAGGATGGGTAAGGATAGAAAATTGGAAAAGGGTGGGAGGGGGGAGTGAGGTAGGATATAAAAGGGTGGAGGGGGAGTGAAGTAGGATATAAAAGGGTGGGAGGGGGGAGTGAAGTAGGATATAAAAGGGTGGGAGGGGGGAGTGAAGTAGGATATAAAAGGGTGGGAGGGGGGAGTGAAGTAGGATATAAAAGGGTGGGAGGGGGGAGTGAAGTAGGATATAAAAGGGTGGGAGGGGGGAGAGAGGTAGGATATAAAAGGTAAGTGACACAACCACTTTGGTGCAATTTAAAAAGTATATGTGTAATAATAGAATATTCTTGAAGGGGTATAATACTAACCCATCAGAGTCACATAGACATAACAGATATATAGGTACATGACTCTGAGTTATTGGTAGTAGATATACAAGTTGCAATTGCTTTTTTTTTCAATTGCATAACGAATATTTAAACGACAAGACAAGGCGGTAATTGTCTGGACAGTTCGTAAAGAATTACTTGACACGTTAGCTTCTTTGAAGGTGGTGTCCCGCTGTAGTAAATGAATTCCCGGGGAAAACTTAGATTAGGGAGGTCCGGAGCTAATGTGGAAGAATCATGATCATAGAAATGCACATATTACCCTAAATTTATACAATTATTCTATGGGCTCAGAGTTGTTTTATCCATACAGTAATATTATACTACAAAGTTTGTGAATATTGAATCTAGAATAACCCAGCACAGTCAGTCTTGATGTATTACCACTGAAAAACAGTATTTCTTTAAGTAGTTTATGTATTATTTTTTTTGTATTTAGCATTTTGAAATTGTATATAGTAATAATAATAATAATAGTAATAATTATTATTATTATTATTATTATTATTATTAGTAGTAGTAGTAGTAGTAGTAGTAGTAGTAGTAGTAGTAGTAGTAGTAGTAGTAGTAGTAGTAGTAGTAGTAGTAGTAGTAGTAGTAGTAGTAGACTCACAAGATAGAACATACACTACAGTGGTATCAGTGTAGACTCACATGATGGAAAGGAACATGGGCACCATCAGCAGTGCCCTGCAGTTCCCTGAGGTAGTGAGGGTAGTTCTGCTGTAGGGAGGCCAGGGTCAGGTCATAGGAGGCACGACCCTCAGCAGTATCGAAGGCAGGTAGCAGCACCTCATGCAGCTCTTTGAAGGATCCCAGGAAGTCCTCGATGATTCCCCGGAAGGTACGACCCTGCAGGCCCATTATTATTATTATTATTCATGGGAAACATTAAACTCTTGAAGGTCAAACAATACCTTGGAAAACCGAAGTAATTAAGTTTGAGCTGAGGAAAAGGAGGTTTCTAGCCTGTCCAGTTGCCGGACAGGCTTCAAGCCTGGTCCAGAAACTGGCTCCTGGAATTTAACCCCACCAAATGCAAAGTCATGAAGATCGGGGAAGGGCAGTGAAGACCGCAGACACAGTAAAGGCTAGGCGGACAAAGACTGCAAACCTGACTCAAGGGAAAAGATCTTGGGTTGAGAATAATACCGAGCACATCTCCTGAGGCCCACGTCAACCAAATAATTGCTGCAGCATATGGGCGCCTGGCAAACCTAAGAATAGCATTTCGACACCTCAGTAAGGAATCGTTCAAAACCGTGTATGTCAGGCCTATACTGGAATATGCAGCACCAGTGTGGAACTTATACCTGGTCAAGATTATTATTATTATTATTATAATCACGGAGGAAGCGCTAAACCCAGAGGATTATACAGTGTCTAGGGGGGGGATGTGGAAGGCATTCAGGCTTAATTCGGGGAACTGGAGCACAAATCCAATTCCCTAAATCAAGAGCCCCTCACCAACATCAAGGAACCTTCTTGAGGGGACCTGGTCAAGAGCGTCTAAAAAGTATAGAAAGTGCAAAAGTTCGCAACAATACTAGTCCCGGAGCTAAGGGGTATATCCTACGAGGAGAGGTTTAAGGAAATCGACCTGACGACACTGGATGACAGGAAGGATAAGGGGGACATGATAACGACTTATAAAATACCGAGAGGAATTGACAAGGTGAATAGGGATAGGATGTTTTAGAGATGTGACACAACAACAAAGGGTCACAACTGGAAGCTGAAGACTCAGATGAGTCACAGGGATATTAGAAAGTATTTCTTGAGTCATAGAGTTGTCAGTACGTGGAACAATCAGGAGAGTGACGTAGTGGAGGCAGGATCCATGCATAGCTTCAAGAAGATGTACGATAATGCTCATGGAGCTAGTAGCTGTGAATCGACTCCTGCAACCATAAATAGGTGAGCACACACACACACACACACACACACACACACACACACACACACACACACACACACACAGTGGGCACCTGTGACGAGCGGGGTCCCACAGGGGTCGGTCCTAGGACCATTTTATTACTGGTATATGTGAATGACGTGATGGAAGGGATAGACTCAGAGAGAGGTGTCCCTGTTCGCAGATGATGTGAAGTTAATGAGGAGAATTAACTCAGATGAGGATCAGGCTGGACTTCAAAGAGACTTAGACAGGCTGGCACGTGCGTCCAGCAACTGGCTTCTCTAATTCAGCCCTGCCAAGTGCAAAGTCATGAAGATCGGAGAAGGGCAAAGAAGACCGCAGACAGAGTATAGATTAGGTGGCCAAGGACTGCCAAACTCGCTCAAGGAGAAAGATCTTTGGGGTGACTTAACACCGAGCATGTCATTGGGGAGGCAGCAACATCAACAGATACAACGCTGCAGCATACGGGCGCCTGCAAACCTACGGTAGCGTTCCGATACCTCAGTAAGGGAGTGTTTCAGACTCTGTATACATTTACGTCAGGCACAACATACTGGAGTATGCAGCACCAGTTTTGAATCCACACCTAGTCAAGGCACGTCAAGAAATTAGAGAAGTGGCCAAAAAAAATAAAAAGGTTTGCAACAAGATAGTCCAGAAGCTACGGGGATTGTCCTACGAAGAAAGGTTGAGGGAAATTGCGCCTGACGACACTGGAGGCAGGAGGGTCAGGGGAGGACATTGATAACGACATACAAAATTCTGCACGGAATAGACAAGGTGGACAAAGACAGTTGTCCCAGAGGTGGGACACTGACTCAAAGGGGTAACAATTGGAATTTGAAGGACTCAGATGAATCAAGGGATGTTAGGAAGTATTTCTATAAGTCATGTAGTGTAGTCAAGCGTGGGAATAGCTAGAAAGTGAAGTAGTGGAGGCGGGAACCATACATAGTTTAAAGGCGAGGGTAATGATAAAGCTCATGGAGCAGGGAGAGAGAGGACCTAGTAGCAATCAGTGAAGAGGCGGGGCCAGGAGCTATGAATCGACCCCTGCAACCACAAATAGGTGAGTACAAATAGGTGAGTACATGGTAACTAACTAATTAACACACACAGGAGCTCGGACTCGACCCCCGCAACCTCAACTAGGTGAGTACTAGGTGAGTAACACACACACACACCACAACACACACACACACACACCAAACACACACACACACACACACACCACACACACACAAACGCGCACAATGGGGACAAAGAGGGGTACCAGAGGAGTATAACCTCGACCGAGGACAGAAACAAGAAGAAAGGACTTCACTTGAAAGAGAGGGTACAGAGGACCGCAAGGAGGAAGAGAAGCAATGAAAATGAGCAGGACCCAGACACAGGAGGAAGGGCAAACACACCCCACAGAATCTCCCACCAAAAGAACTCCACCCGCGACATTCCCAAACGCCCAACTGAGCAAAACTAATACTACAACCCACTCACTGTTCCCTCTGCACCAACCCCCATATCACAAACCTCCACCCAACAGCTGTCCTTATGGGCATCTGACCCCCCCCATTTCAACACCAAACCCCACCTACACCCAGCCCCATATAGGCCCCACCAAGGCTCTCGCTCCGGCCACCCAATATTTTGCCATGGACCACAATGATAGAAAAGAAACTAAAGGTTTGGTACAAAACGCGGATGGAATAACGAATAAAAAAATCATGAGGGAGTGGAATGATAGAATCAGTGAAAAAATCCCCAGACATCATAGCAGTCACAGAAAACCTAAAATCGTGAGACAATAACAGACACAATTTCCCATACAGGATACCAGATCCTGAGGAAAGTAGAAGGAGTAGAGGGGGAGGAGGGGTAGCATGCTCATAAAACACGATGGGGATTTGAGAAATGGAAGGCATGGACATGATTGGAGAAAAGAGACTCATTGTAGGTTACAATTCAGTCCGGAGAACATAATAGTACGTCATTGTGGTGATGTATAACCCACCACAGAAATGCAGGAGGACAAGAGAGGAGTACGAAGAAAACAACAGGGTGATGGGGACACCACTGGATGAGGTGGGCAAGAGAGCTACGTCTCGAGCAGAGCAAAGTTACTGGGTAATGGGCGATATCAACCACAGGAGATCGATGGGAAACAGGAGCCACATGGGGGTCCGAATACATGGAGAGCCAAGATGATGGATGTGGTACTTGAAACCTCATGCATCAACATGTCAGGGACACAACAGAGAGAGAGGGGAGGGGGGGGGATGAGCCATCAAGATGGATCTTGTGTTCACCCTGTGCAGTTCAGACATTGAGGGATATCATACGAGAGGACCCCTTGGAGCTAGCGATCATGTGGTTCCTGAGTTTTGACATATATAGTAGAGTTACAAGTCGGAGAAGGTAACAGGAGCTGAAGGGACGGCCAAACTATAAAAGGGGGGGACTACACAGGTATGAGAAACTTCTGCAGGGTGGTTCAGTGGGACAGAGAAATGGTAGGAAAATCAGTAACGAGTGATGATATGGTGGCAACAAAGTGCAAGGAGAGAGGAAAGTTTTGTTACCAAGGGAAACAGAACTAATAGGAAGGACCCAAAACGAGTCCTTGGTTTACCCGAAGGTGAGGGGAGGCAAAAACTATGGCACAGGAGAATGGAAAAGGTTCAGGAGGATAGGACCCAGGAAAACAAGGAGATTAGTAGAAGAGCCAGAAAACGAGTTTGCACAGATAAGGAGGGAGGCCCAGCGACAGTATGAAAACTACATAGCATCGAAAGTCTAAATCGACCGAAACTGCTGTATAGCCACATTAGGAGGGAAGCTCAACAGTCCAAGGACAGGTGATAAGGCTCGCCCGAGAAAAGAAGGCGGAGAAATCACAAGATACGATCAAGAGGTATGTGAGGAGCTCAAACGAGATTAAGGAAGTATTTACAGGTAGAGACCGGAAGGACTCTGGGGGGACGACCAGATGGGTACACCAGCAAGGAATACACCAACAAGTGTTGGACGACATACATAAAGATGAGGTGGAGGTGAAGAAACTGCTTAGGGGACATCGATACCTCAAAGGCATATGGGACCGGCAAAATCTCCCATGGTCCTTAGAGAGGGAGCAGATAGGTTGTGCGTGCCACTTACCACAATCTTCAACACATCCTGGAAATGGGCAACTACTGAAGGTATGGATGACGGCAAATTGTAGTTTCCCATTGTTAAAAAAAGGGGACGACAGAAAGAGGCACTAAACTATAGACCTGTGTCATTGACGTGTATAGTATGCAATTTGGGAGAAGAGTATCAGGAGGAGAGTGGTGGAGCACTGGAACGGAACAGGAGTATAAATGGCCAACCAGACGGATTACGGAAAGGCAAATCCTGTGTCACAAACCTTCTGGAGTTTTATGATAAAATTAACAGAAGTAGACAGAGAGAGAGGGGTGGGTTGATTGCATCTTCTTGGACTGCAAGAGGCCTTTGACACAGTTCCTCACAAGAGATTCGTGCATGAAAGCTAGAGCATAAGGCGCATATAACAGGAAGGGCACTGCAATGGGATCAGAGAATACCTGAAGGGAGGCAACAACGAGTCATGGTACGTAATGATGTATCACAGTGGGCCCTGTGACGGAGTCGGGGTCCCACAGGGGTCGGGTCCTAGGACCCAGTGCTATTTTTGGTATATGTGAACGACTGACGGAAGGGTTAGACTCCAGATTGTCCTGTTTGCAGATGATGTGAAGTTAATGAGGAGGAATTTAAAATCTGATGAGGAACAGGCAGCGACTTCAAAGGAGACCTGGGAACAGACCGCGACACCTGGTCAGCAAATGGCTTCTCGAATTTTAATCCTGCCAAATGACAAAGTCATGAGATAGGGGAAGGGCACAGAAGACCACAGAAAGAGTATAGGCTA